ACCATAGACTTTGCATGTAAACCTGCTGCTCCTGACGCTGAAATCGCGTTCGGTGTGAACGCACCATAACCCCACATTCATTTTTTTTACGTAGACCAACACTGTTGTGTCGGGAGCAGACATTTGTTGCAGTGGAAATGTTCATGAAAAAGCCTGATGCCTTTTTCTGCTGCAGTTAAAAGGTGCATACACCTTGTGAGGGTGTAACAAGCCCACCTTTATTTTTCATTTGAAGCAGCTGATACAAATCATCATATTGAGGTTGGACAGCATTAGAGACCAAAGATGATTTACACACATCACAACACACCTCAGTTACAATCTGACGCACCATAAAACCTGCAATGTATGTTATGATGTTCATAGCAAACGGAGCAAGTTTTGGTGAGATCTATGTGCTGTATGTGAGGTCGATGTTGTTGTCCATAAAATGTGAAAAATAAATTTATTTACTGTTACAGAGCTTTAGGAAGCAATCCACAAAGCAAATGTCAGGGTGTTTTTCTTTCTTTTTTCTTTTGCTTAATAAATTTAGATAATTAACAATGTGTCTGTTGTGTAAATATTACATACTTACTGTTACAAAACTTTAGTAAGCAATCAGGAGTACAAATCAACTCTTCTGTCTTTGTTTTAATGGCACACCTTGACCCAACAGAAATACAAAAAACACACACAAAAGTTTAATTTCACCCTCCAGCAGTGGGAGATTTCATGTACTTCACAATTGATTTTGATCCATTTCTTGTCAGTACTAATTCTGAACATAAACACAATGCTAAACATAGCCTTCTTATTTAAAAGGAAAAAAAAACTTACCAATGAAATGTTATGAGGTCCGAACATTTTCCACTACGATTGCTACAAGCGAACGCTGCACAGTGACAAGTCATTGCGGGTCTGTGTCAACGGTTGAATGACTGTGTCAAGATGGAGTCGAGTTCAGCGTACCCAAAGTCACATGATAGCCCCTCTAGTAAATATAACTCATTGACTAAAGTAAACACAAAGATGGCTGTCAGTGCTTTTAGAAATCAAGCCAAAAACAGATCAACTATTTATTTAGAGTTATTCTAATAAATTAAAAACAAACTTCAAAACAGGAAATATAGAATAAACTTTAAAATTGTATAAATATAAAAAACGTAAACATATCTGCCTGTCAGATCACTTCCTGCTTCGTCTCTGCCTTTGATCTGTCTTCAAAAGTGATCCAGTATTTACCAACACTGATGATTAACCCCTGCTTTTTTCTCAACAGTACAATAGAGCGCATAATCACATTGTGTTGGCCATAAGCTCAGCTGCAGCATGATTATATTCAGGTAGATGACTGCTACTATAAATCACACAATTACTGCTTTTTCACCCAGGTTTTCTGACTCACTGAACAACTGTTTACTGATTTTTTTCCCTTTTTTCCCACCTCAGCCACAAGGGGGCAGTACTGGATGGCAGTAAGACAAAAAACTTTTTTAACAAAAATGTCTAATGAAGATTTCAGATTGTGGTAAAGAAAATAAATCGTAATTTTCTGACAGCATCTGATGAAGTCTTCAGTGTCCAGCTCAGCCTTGTATCAATGTGTTTGAGTCTCTGCAGAGATGTAAATGCACTGTAGTTGCTGAGACACGGTTAAAATGAGGATCAGAGGCCGATTTTTAAGTATGAAGCAGTCATGAGATGTGAATAATGAAATGCCGCGCTGCAGATCTTCATCATTGAAGTTTATGTTCTATAATATTTGCAGAGATCTGCATAGATCTCAACAATCCCAATAAGTCATTGAGTCAGATTATGTGCCAGTGGGCAAACAGGCGCCTACAAGTCCGTCATTTATGGATAAAATCATAACACAGAAGCGTTTGTTGGGTTTTATTTTGCTCCGAGCGCTGCCGTCCTGATCGCATCTTCTCCGTCTTTCAGTCTGGTGGTAACCTTGACTTGACTGTGTCTTCCTGGAACTGGTGTGGGATTTGTCATGTGAAAGAATAAATGCAGCCACTGCTGCAGGGACTGCAGCTGGGTCTGCTGTGGATATGAGTGATCTGTGTGAAACGTAGCAAGTTAATGGAACCATTCATGCCTCTTTTTGGTCCTAGTGTATGATCAGTTCTTTTAACTGTCTTCCTTATGACATTTTTAACATTTACTATTAACAAATGAGCAGCCAGCACCTATACCCTAACAAACACGTAGAAGAAAATTCCAGGTTATTTCAAATGATCCAGCCTTACCAGAAAAGTTTAAAGTGCTCGTGACATCAAAGTTTTTGCAATAAATATGACTGCATTTTTGGAAAGATAACATCGACAACACATTGTGAAAAAAAATTTCAATGCCGCTGAGATGAATAGTAGTTGAGATATTCACATGTGAAGTAACAGGAAGTGATGTCAAAGGGGAATGTCTACATGTAAGCAGAGCATCGCTACAATGGCTGACAACTCAGACGGTAGAGAAGAATCTGATGTTTCTTTAGATCAGTGGTGCCCAAAAATGGCCCGCCAAGCCGTTTGATTTGGCCCTCCAGCAGTTGTCCTGGTTACTGGATTATAATCTGTTGTCTTATGTAGAAACACTATATTTCCACTTAGACTTTTATTGGTCCAATTACATTATAAATACAAGGAGCTGTAGTCAGATAGTCTTAACCCATGACACTCACTTTGTCTTTGAATTATGTTAAGATTAAATATAAAATACAATTAACTACAAGAGACATTTAGATTAGATTTAAGTCCATATCTAGATTTGCACACCTTATAAGACCCCACATGCTTATTTTTTATTATGAAAAGGTCCCTTGAGCCTTTGCTGCCCGAGCATATGTTGAATTTTCTTCATGTCCATAGCCTGAAAAAGCAAGCAAACAAACAAAAGAATGTGGGCAACCACATTGGCTGCTAGCTTAATCATGAAAAATAGACAACTTTACTTAAGATGTATTTGCATTTCTTATATTATTGCATTTGGCCCGCGGCCCTCAAGTTGTTTTTTATTTTGGCCCTCTCAGGGAACATGTTTGGGCACCCCTGCTTTAGATTATTTGGAGTCACTATCAAAGGAGAGAGGGATTACATAAATATTGTTTCAATGAACAAAGACCGTGGAGTTTTCTTAGAGTTCCCCTTTGGTGTCACTTCCTGTTTCCCTCTCGCTGAGCCAAGTTCAACAAAACAAAATGACAGAAATGAAAAATGACAAAATGACTAACAAAATGAATGAAATCATGTTTATTATGTCAAGTTTCTCAAAGATGATTTCTTTCACTTTTTGTATTTGAAGGATATTCATTTCACAGGCAGTTTAAGAAAATAAAAGTCCTCTCTAATCCACTTAATATCTGTAGGTGGAGCAGCAGATTTCCAGTTTGACAGTTTTAGCCTCCTGGTCAGCAGAGTTGTGAATGCTGCTGAGTTCTTATTAGCAGGAGAGAGAGAGTAATGTTTTTTTTACATTGTCCAGTTTCAACACGACTCACATTGTCCTAAATTGGACCTGGTCACATGATCTCAGTAGTTTTACATACAGTACGAGTGTCGCAGCAACTTAGGTGGGTCGACATAGTGCAACCACCTAAAACTTACACTCAACAAATAAATAAAAGAGAAAGAATGTCCTGATGCATCTCAGTAATCCAGGTAAAAAATCAAAAAGAAAAAAATTGTATAGGTCTTCTGGACCCGTCCAGAAGACCTATACAATTTTTTTTCTTTTTAAAAGAGAAAGAAGTCACAAAACATTCACCATTTTCTGCCACTGTTTTCAAAAATGCCATGAAGCCACCTCATCTCTGTTGGTTGGAGATGTAAATCACTTCCATTTGGTCTAGCTCTGTCTTAATTCTGTCTTCAACCAACAAAACAAATCTGCACCTCCTTATAGTACCATTTTACTTGATGTATCATTAATAAACTTAACAGAAAACGTAAGGAAATTTGTGTTTGGTTGATTATTTCTTTGTTGTAACAATGCAAACCGTATACATGATTAGCAGCTCCATTGACATTTGAATGAAATTTATGGAGACCCATGAGGACCTCACTGGTGACACAGATATGAGAGCACTACACTGCGGTTTGCCAAAATCTGTTTTGTGCAAATGACAGGTGGACAGATGATAAATGGTTTTGGTGGTGCTCACCATTCTACTGTTTACAGAAAAAGGAATGAAATCTATAAAGCAAGGAACACAGTACCTACCGTCAAATATGGTGGAGCTTCAAAAATGCTTTGCTGCCTCTGGCACTGGGTGCCTTGACGAAGAGCAAGGTCAGAAAGCAAGACAATGACCCCAAGTAAACTTACAAAAAGCACCCAGAATTGGAAGGAAGCAAATGCTGCACTTCAGTTGTATTCTGAGGTCCAAATTCTGGACTTCTGAATTGAAAGTTTCAACTGGAACACTCTCATCTCAAAATTTCAAGTCAGCAAGTCGGTGCAACACGACCACCCTGTCACATGTAATGTCATCATTTCAACACGGCTGCACATCAACAAAGAATGAAAATCTTTCCGACTTGAGCACTTGTGTGTTGTTTACATTAAATCAGTCTTGTATTTTATTGCGATTTTTATTGCAAGCTCAAAACAGCGCAGAGCATGATTGTGTTATTGTTGCAATACACCGTCAGAGCAAGAAATAAAAATGCTGACAAGATGGAAACTGGAACTCTTTCATCTTCGACTGTCCGACTTCACAGTTTTCAGTTCCGCTGCAACTGGAGCACAGCAAATGTGCTGCAGAGCTCTGAAGTGGCCAGCAAGGAGTTCGGATCTAAATCCCAATGAACACCTGGAGAGATCTAAAAACTGCTGTTGGGACAAGGCTCCCTTCAAATATGAGAGCTGCAGTTTGCAAAAATTCGAGTGCAGAATTCCAGTTGAGAGGTGTAAGAATTGTTGATGGTTATTGGAAACCTTTGATTTTAGGTTTGTTTGCTTTTCCCCCACAAAAGATGTGAAGTTGAGGTGCCAATAATTTTGTCCAGTCTGTTTTTGAAGTTTTGCCTAAAATTATATCCCTTTTGGCTTTTTTTTCTTCTGTTATTTATTTATTTATTTACTTGTGTGTGCTTTAATACACCAAGGACTAAACATGTATAACAAAACACGAGTAATTGCACTATTATTTTCATTCGTGGGTGTCATCACTTTCAACTATGACATGGGACAGACTGTAAATCAAGGGTGGGCAATCCTGGTCCTTGAGGGCTGCAGCCCTGCCTGTTTTACTTTTTTCTCTGCTCAAACACACCTGATTTGAATGAATGGGTGACTATAGCTGTACGGAGTACCGAAACTGACATAATTAAAAATAAAAGCAGAAATATATAAATTGAGTAATAAATAAATACACTTAAAGTGCACCAATAAAATTCAAAAAGGAGAATTTAATTTAAAGTATACATACATATATAT